ATGCAAGCAAAGGAGTGGGTCTTTCCCCACTCAGCCTACAGATGATACCAGAGGACAGCTTGACATTTCTACTGCAGGTTTTTGAGAGAACATGAAACATAGGTGGGTGTTTTATGCGTATGTGTGTGTGTGTGTGTGTAGGGGGGTGTAAGCATACATACATAATGAGTTGAATAAAGTAGGATCACCCACACAACGGAATATGATGCAGCTCTTTGTAGATCTGATGGAATGCATCTGGAATCTATTGGTTCCTGGGCTGTTTTTTGTTTTGTTTTGTTTTTATGGCTCGTAGGTTATTTACTACTAATGATTCCATTTCAGAAATTAAAATTTGACCAGCTGGAGCTGAGACTGGGTCCATTTAAATTCTGTTGTGGAACAGGGAATGGCATGCCTGTAATTTTGGCTGTGATGGCTACTGGAAGGTCTCTGCGCAGATGGGCTAGTTTCCTACCTACAGCAGGAGGGCCTGGGGCTGAAAATCAGCTCCCTTGACATCTGCTCTTAAACAGATAACTTAGATCCTGGTCTCTGCTAAGAAAGTTACATAATTCCCAGAAAGTTTCTGAAAGATTATATAGTTCCCTGATTAAAGTGGAAGGGCCAGAGTTGAGAGTGGGTCCTCCCTAGAGGGGACAGAGGCTGGAGAGTCTAGATCCATTTTCTGCTGGACAGAGCCTGGATAGACTACATTCACTGACTCAGACTGGCACATTCCCCAGCAGGGAAGTTTATTCTCAACAGCAGTGGAAGGCACTGGAGCTGAGACTGAGATTCTCTGTTTCTCAGTAAAGTCACATGCTCTAGAGATTCTAATGCCCCAGTGATTTCCACTAGATATATCAGAAGCGAACTTCCTTCAAGGGGTACCAGGGCTTATTATAAAAGCTACTTGTCCACTGGGTCCAAGTAGGGCCAGAAATTCATCCTTAACCATTAAATTGCTCTGCTTTTCAGCCTAGAAATGGGTGGAACACACAGGGCTATGATGGTCAAAAGTATGGCAGCTGGGATTGGGTGCGATTGCATGCCTCTTCTGTGGAAAATCACCAAGCTGCCTCTTTTTCACAGCCTTGGAAGTTTTGCAGAGAAAACTAGGGTGGGATTTGGCAGCTGGCCAGGGATTTGAGCCTGGCTGACCCATCAACCATAGTTGGCTGCTGCAGAATAATGCTGCTGCCTAGTTTGTCTGATGGTGCACTTCTGCTGGCTAGAATGTAAAGCCACCAAGGAGATTACTGTTATGGTCACTGTGAGCTCCATCCATGTAGTTTGTTTGTAACTGGCCCCAGTTGTCTGATATCCCCAATGTTTCCCACAGGGGAAGACTAGAGAGAACATTATGTGAAGAACCGCAAAATGGAAAAGAAAAGGCTGAATGTACACCTTCAACTCTCTTGTCTCTGAAGAAACTGTGGGTCCAGGGAAATTTTTTGTATGCAACACTGTGCTGGCTTGGGGAGGAGAAAAGGCATCAAAATAAAACTATTCTTTTATCCTATGTGTGTGGTTATTCTCAGTTCTATAGTCTTTGAAAACTTATCATAGATTAAATCCCAAGTTATAGAATCATTCACTACAGTGTCCTTGTCTAAGGATAGTTGTGAGTTGAGGTTTTTTGCAGAGAGGGAGGAAGTTAGCAGTATCACAGAATGCCTATTCTGTCACAACAGACCCTAGAAATGGACAAGTTAAAAGCATGGTCCAGGCTGAGCACAGGGGCTCACGTCTGTAACCCCAGCACTTTGGGAGGCTGAAGCATATCATGAGGTCAGGAGGTTGAGATCACCCTGGCTAACATGGTGAAATCTGCTCTCTACTAAACATACGAAACAAAACAATTAGTCAGGCCTGGTGGCACATGACTGTAGTCCCAGCTACTTGGAAGGTTGAGGCAGCACTATCTCTTGAACCCAGGAGGTAGAGGTCAAAGTGAGCTGAGATCATGCTACTGCACTCTGACCTAGGTGATAGAGTGAATCTCAATAAATAAATAAATATGAACAACAACAACAAAACACTGGTCCTAAAGGAGGAGTTTAAAAGGTTGGGGTGTATCCATGGAGAAACTGAAAGCTAGAGTAAGCCAACGGTTGGATTTAAGGAAGAACTCATGGGACCATTGAAAACCACCTCTGTCCTCTGTGGAACGCAGCAAATAGTGAACTCTGAGCTCCACTGCTTACTGATATAGACAAGTTATCAGCCCGAGATACATGTCTTAGTCTGTTTGTGTTCCTATGAAAGGCTATGAGACTGAAAAAATTTATAAACAAAAGAGCTTTCATTGGCTCCTGGCTCTGCAGATTGTAAAAGATGTGTGGTGTCAGCATCTGCATCTAGTGACAGCCTCACGAGGCTTCCACTCATGACAGAAGGTAGAAGGAAAACAGGCATGTCACATGTGGAGAAAGCAAGAAAGAGAAGTGGAGAAGAGAGAGAAGGGGAGAAGGTATCAGACTTTTTTGAACAACTATTTGGATGCATGCTGCACTGTGGGAGCTAATACAGCAGAAAATCCACTTATTAACTATGGCGAGGGCACCAAACCATTTATGAGGGATCCAGCCCCATGACACAAACAAATACTTCCCACTAGGTGCCATTTACAGTGTGGAGGACCACATTTCAACCGGAGGCTTGGAGGGACAAATGTCCAAATTACAAGTCATGCAGAGTTATTGTAAAACAACAGTTTTTCCTCTTTAGAATCCTGGGACTACAAAGAGCTGGGATTCATTAGCTTCCAGAGATTGGCAAGTTAGTTTTCAAACTCTTAGGCAGCAACCTGAGAAATCAGGGCAATAGTTAGGTAGTTTGACTTCTTGGTAGGAAAATTTAGAAGCTCAGCATATTGATAGAGTGAGTGATGATGAAGACTGAAGAGAAATGCCTACGTGCCTGCTCTCAGAGGACGTTGACAGATCCAGAAGTAAAAATTAGAAGTAAGATACCTGGGTAGAAGCTACAAAAGTCAACACATGACAGGGTGTGGTGCTCATGACTGTAATCCCAGCAGTTTGGGAGGCTGAGGTGGATGGATAACCTGAGGTCAGCAGTTCAAGACCAGCCTGACCAAAATGGTGAAACCTTGTCTCTACTAAAAAACACAAAAGTTAGCCTGGCATGGTGATAGGCACCTATAATCCCAGTTACTTGGGAGACTGAGGCAGGGGAATCACTTAAACCTAAGAGACAGAGGCTGCAGTGATCCAAGACTGTGCCATTGCACTCCAGCCTGGGTGACAGAGCAAGACTCCATCTCAAAAGAAAAAAGAAAAAAAAAAAAGTCAAGGTGTTAAATGTACAATCTCAGTTCTTCTAGGTATAAAGTGGGAGCTGAACTTTCTTGACTGCTTGAGATCCAGTAAGCCAGGAGGAAACAGTTTTGGAAGTGTTTGAATGTCTATTTAAATCCCTCTTTTATCTTGGAGGTATTAGGAGAGTTATAAATGCCAATCTGTGTTAGAATCCAGAGAGTGGCAAGTCAGGAATCATTTCGTTGAGAAGCTGCTGTTAACAGCTGGGGCATTACATATGTAATTTAATTCTTCAGTCCTCTGAGACAAGCTGTGAAATAAGATTTCCTTTTGATTCTAGGGCACTGTGTCAGACACAAACTCTAGAACAAGATCATGATTCAGCCTTTCTTGCCTCTTTTTAGTGAGTATTTTCATAATCCTATGTTCAAGAGTATCTCAATTAGTTTCTGAATTTATCTCACAGGGAATTGATGTTGGTGTGCCTTTTTTTGTTGCATTTGTGGATGGAAGAATAAATTAGAGACTCCTATTTTATCACTTTGTTGGAGGTACCCTTTTTATTTATTTTTTACTTATTTTAAATTTTTTTTTTTTTTTTTTTTTTGAGACAGAGTCTCGCTTTGTCACCCAGGCTGGAGTGCAGTGGCCTGATCTCAGCTCACTGCAAGCTCCGCCTCCTGGGTTCCCGCCATTTTCCTGCCTCAGCCTCCCGAGTAGCTGGGACTACAGGCGCCCGCCAGCTCGCCCGGCTAGTTTTTTGTATTTTTAGTAGAGACATGGTTTCACTGGGTTAGCCAGGATGGTCTCGATCTCCTGACCTCGTGATCCGCCCGTCTCGGCCTCCCAAAGTGCTGGAATTACAGGCTTGAGCCACCGCGCCCGGCCTATTTTAAATTTTTTTAAAGATAACTTACAAATTACACAAAATTAAAAGACCAAACATCTAAATAGATATTTCTCCAAATAAAATAGACAAATGCCCAAAAAGCACATGGAACAGATACTCATAATCAGTGATTCAGAAAATGCATTTCAAATCCAAAGTGAGATACCATACTTTACACACACACTAGAATGGCAATAAATTTTAAAAAGCAGGAAATAGCAAGTGTTTGAGAGGATGTAGATAAACTGGAACCCTGACACTATGCTAGTTGGAATGGAAAATGATGCAGCTACTATGTAGAAATGTGGTGGCTCCTCAATAAAACAAACATAGTTATCATAGTACCAAGCAATTCCACTTATATATACATCCAGAATTGATTAAACCTACTCAAACAAATACTGGTGCATAGAAATACTGTGGTAGAAACCACCCACAGAAAATAATGGGTTAACAGCTTGTGGAAGAGTTAAGTGGTATAATGTAAATGAACTTTTGGGACATCACAAAAAGGAAAGGAGACAGATACAAAAAGTCATGAAGTGTTTGAACCCATTTACATTAAATGCCCACAACATGTAAGCTCCGACGCAGAACACAGATTGGTGTTTGCTAGCAGCTGAGCGAAGGGAACAAATGAAAGGGCCTCCTTAACTGGTAGCTGGAGTTTTAGTTTGGAGTGACAAAAATGTTTTGGAACTCGATGGAGGTACTTGCTGCACAACACAATGTATTAATTGCCACTTAACTGTTTCCCTTATAATATTTAATTTTTTTATGTAAATTTCATCACCATAACAAAACACAACTGTTTTTTTCTATTTTCTTTTTTTTCATTTTTCCTTTACCTCTCCTTAGTTGCATAATCATCATCTCTTGGTGACATATAGTCATTTCTCCAGGAAGAGGTTGGCTCTCTGCATAGAGGACCTCCATAATTCTCTCTTCCACGTGACATGGGACCTTTAATATTAAAATAATGGAACATAATGTAAAGATTACCAAATCTGAAACACTATGTTCTCTTCTCAAACAACTTTTACAATTATTTCTTCTATGACTATGTTCTTTGTTCTCTAAATTACTAAATCATGACACTGTGAATATTTCTTATGACTTGGGATAATCCCATGGCTCCCGCCAAGGCCAGTTCTTCTAATATAGCTGAAGGCAGACATCAATTCTTCAGTAAAAGTTCATTTGTAATGGTTAATAACTACTTAGTGATTATTTTCCTTTTCATATGAATTACTGATGACTACTAATGACACAGGAAAAACATGTGAAACCACCAAACTCTTCACAGATTTTAAAGTGTATATACATTGTCCATTCTCAGCTGAAGAAGGTGGATTTTCTCATGTTGTTCAATCCACCTCACACACACAAATAAGGCTACCTTTGAATGACTGCATCTTAAATTTATACCTACATTTATACCTCCTTTAAGTTTATACTTAATAAACTTAAGTATAAATTTATACTCCTATAAATTTATACTTAAATTTGTACCTCCTTTAAGTGGTTGACTCTATCTTAAATGTTGACAAATTAAAATGTACTAGTGAAAACTTTCTAATGATGGTCCAGATTTACTTTTATTGCAATAAGCAATACTGTTAAAGGGATCATTAGAACATTATTGCTATTTCAAGTAGAAAAGGTTCTCCTTTAATATACTCTTCACGTGCTATTCCTTAGATGTCAGTCTTTCACCTGTGATATGTTCACTGGCTAATTTTTCAATGGAAATGTGTTGGCTTGTGTATCCTGAAGTCAATAAATACCTATCTTCACAATATTCTATATATGAAATGTAAAATTGAAAATGGTAGTTTTCAATTTGCTCCATATTAGTATATGGAAGACTAAGTAACAACTTTAATTTGTTCTGCTTAAACTTCTTTGCTAAGAACTTTTATTTACTGCCTTGCTTTCTTCTGTTGAGTCTGCAATCTTACAATTCTCCTTCTCAAAAATATTACTTCTATTCAATCCTACTACTCACCTCAGGTTGCTTAGTTCTAAATTCTCTCATCAAATAAATTCAAATCATACACTAAGGATCTTGTATTAATGTTTAAACATCCCAGCACAATCTTAATTATTGATTTATATGCCCTTATATTTCACAACTCTGTATTTCTGTGATATCCCCTTAAGAATATTGGACTCCTTAGGCCGGGCGCGGTGGCTCACGCCTGTAATCCCAGCACTTTGGGAGGCCGAGGCGGGCGGATCACAAGGTCAGGAGATCGAGACCACGGTGAAACCCTGTCTCTACTAAAAATACAAAAAATTAGCCGGGCGCGGTTGTGGGTGCCTGTAGTCCCAGCTACTCGGGAGGCTGAGGCAGGAGAATGGCGTGAACCCGGGAGGCGGAGCTTGCAGTGAGCCGAGATCGCGCCACTGCACTCCAGCCTGGGCGACAGAGCGAGACTCCGTCACAAAAAAAAAAAAAAAAAAAAAAAAAAAAAAGAATATTGGACTCCTTTATGTCTACCTTTCAAGCCTTAACTTTATTTTTAAATACTATTTAAGCCCAGTGACTCATTTTCTGCTGAATGCTCTTGTACTTCTTTTGATTCTTCATATAAGCAGCAATAATGCCCTGCATGTAAGCATACTGAGGTCTCAGAAGTTGGATGGCCAGGCTCAGTGGCTCAAATTGTGAGCTAGTGTGGAAGGCTGAGGCAGATGGACTGCTTGAGTCCTGGGCTTTAATGTTAGTTTTGACAATGTAGTGATATCCTCTACAAAAAAACAGGGTAAAAAAATTAGTTAGGTGTGGTCACGGTGCATGCCTATAGTTGCAGCAACTCAGGAGGCTGAAACAGGAGAATTGCTTGTGCCCAGGAATTTGAGGCTGTAGTAAACCATCATCTCATCAACGCACTCTGACCTTGTAAGAGCAAGACTTCAACCCAACAAAGAAAATGAACAAGCAATTTTTATATTGGGACACTAAGGGACCACCACCAGGGTACCTAGGAAATGGAAGAATTCATTAGATAAAGAAGGCTACTATCAAGGAGTACTGCTAGGAACTTTTAGTAACATTAAGGGGAATTAGCTAGCAAACACACACACACATACAAACAACACACAAAAAAGCGAATAGTGGCCTCACTGTAATCACTTCTTTCATCTGTAATGAGAAGCTTGAGTATTTCTTCACCATAAATCTGAAATTCACCTAGTGAGATAGAAAGTATAATAAAAGCTATCTATCAATAATTATGCTCAATGATGTGTCACTTCTCTTTTGTTCGATGAACTTAAATTTAAGCATCCAGTTAAAATATCTTATTTTCAGTCATGCAAAAACTACGGTCTTTCCATGAGGTAGAATTTACCTTGGCCTCCCATCCAACTATTGGTTCTTGCCACAGCAGAAGGAGTAGATTTTTTAGGAGGAGGACCTCCACTTCTTGAAGATGAACCTCTTTCAATTGGAAAGCCCCCTAGAAGAACTCATGTTCTTCAAGAGTGTATCCGCCATCATCTGTATTTCAAACAAAATCTTTTTAGTTAACTAACATCACTGTTTCTTAAATGGCTAAGTTTTAGTTGTTTATGGAGATTTTCTACATATTATAATCTTACGAATACACATTTGTCTAAACTAATAAAATTAACATTTCTATATGAAACTGGTACAATTCAAGGAACAAAAGTCCATTTAGAAGATCTAGAAGGAAACTCAAGAATCATAATATATTGGTGTGACAGAGAAATGTGGGAAAAGTGGGGAGTGAACAGGGAGCAGAAATCTATCCGTAAAATATTTAAGTATAATACACATAAAGAAAAAATATTTTAAACATGATAAACTACTGTTTATGTCATTGTTATCAGGAAAATTTCCAAAACATATCATAAAGATACACTAAATTCCATTGAAAGCAACCCAAATATTTACAATATCAAAAGATGACACAGGAAAATATATATCTCTAAAATTTGTTAACATAATATAGAATTCTTACAATTCTCTTATGAAACACTAATTTTCAGAGTAGACTATGCTAAATTTTAATAATTTTTAAGAATTGCATATAAATAATATAAAAATATGTTTTTATAGCTACAAAAATGTAGACATATGCCAATTTCTAGGTGGTGTTACAGGTTAGAATATGCACATTCTCACACATGACAAAGTGTTATTGAACCTCACCCTCAAGATCAATGGAGACAATATAACCTTGAAGCTATGCATCTTAAAATGGAGTAAATACTTCAATTTCAACTTTAAAAAATCTGCAATTAATTAAACATCTGGCCATTAAAACATAAAATTAAGCGATACATTTTTGAAGGTTGATTCATAGATACTACTAGTTAACTGATAGGTTTATTATTTATGTATGTATGTAAGTATGTATGTATGCATGCATGTATGTATGTATGTATGGATGGATGGATGGATGTATCTATCTTATCTATCTATCTATCTATCTATCTATCTATCTATCTATCTATCAATCATCTATTTATTGAGATGGACTCTTGCCCTATTGCCCAGGCTGGAGTTCAATGGCATGAATTCGGCTCACTGCAGCTTCTGCCTCCCAGTTTCCAGTGATTCTCCTGCCTCAGCCTCCCAGGTAGCTGGGATTACAGGTGAATGCCACCATGCCAGGCTAATTTTTTGTATCTTTAGGAGAGACAGCGTTTCAGCATGTTGGGCAGGCTGGTCTGGAACTCCCAACCTCATAGTCCAACCACGCTATACTCCTCAAGTGTTGAGATGGCAAGCATGAGCCACCTTGCCCAGCCCATCCAATATACTTTTTTGAATATATGGTTTGTTTTTCTTTTTTATGTAGAAATTGACCCCTCATTTCTATTGTGTAAATCACTCATAAATATCATTTTCAGTGGCTCATCCTCCAGCAAAGAAAGATACATATTTATCTGTGAAGCAGTGGTTTTAAACTTTTCCAGAGTCACACACTCTTTTCAGAAATTAAAATTCTACATTTCTTAAATTGAAAATGCTTTATGGCAGGCCAATGTACAAACTTTCCAAAAGAAAATTGCAAAGCAATAGATTTGCACAGATGTTTGCACATGTATACACACACAAAAAAACCTGAAAAATCAATTTTAAGTACTGAGTTACTTTTTTCCTGTTGGAAAGTTTTAAATGTTCCATCGTATTTTGATAATACAACTGATAAGAAGTTCTGGGCCCAGAAGTAGAAAACTCTATAAAGTATAATGAATATAAATGAGTTCTACAGAAAATCTGTTGAGTATAGGCAATCAGCATTCATAAACTCAATTCTGTTTGAAATTTGTGTTATTTCGATGCAAAGTTGTAGTAATTTTAAAACAAATTTTAGATATTAATTCAATCATTCTTATCATACACCTTTAGTACTTAGAAATAATTTTGCTTATCAATAAGTTAATTTTCTGTTCATAAAGGAAACATACAAAATTGAGAAATTTTGATATCTTCAAACTTATTTTCTTTTAGTCCTATGGTTCCATCTTTATATTTTAAAACATTACCCAAGCATCCATCATGTGAGGGAAGCCACTCTCTTGATCCTCCACTACTTCCTCTTGCAGTTCTCAAACTTCCTGAAGGGCTTCTGTTTCTTGAAGAAGCTAGTGGTCTCTGCCAACCACCACTTTGAAAGATGATTTCTTGGCTTGTTCTACTTTTATTGCTTTTCCATCCAAAGACTAAAGGTATCAAGGGTACTATCAACAACACTGGCACATTTAACCTAAGCACATTTTACAAGCAGATTTATGTCACCTGTGGTTCGATTTTAGATATTTTATCCCAAAGCAAACTTTTTTTCCCCTCCTAAAATGAACACGTCTTTCACAATGCCAAATTTGAGACATTTACTGAACACATGCCTTCCAGTAAGGGATCAAACACAAGTCCTAATATTCAAATTCCTTGAAAACTCCTCCATTATTGAAAAAATAACACCTCAAACAAACAAACAAAAAATATTAACCATTATAGATTCTATGGAAGAATGTGGCACATCTGTTTTTTACAATATATAATACACTTCATCTTTCTATTCACATCACTGATTTAAAAGTTTCAGTGAGACACAAGTGATTAGTCGTATTAGTCATTATGAGTTGCTCCTTGTTTAATCTGCTAACACATAAAATGTGCCCATATGATTTACAATTCCGTATTTACTCTAGAAATGTTTCTGTAAATGCGATCCTTGTTTTATCTCATTAAGGTTTCTTGCCCCACTCATTTCTTTCTTTTCCTTAGACATGTTCCTAATTAATGATTCTTAATATAGTACTTCATGTTATTTCTCAGAAATGCTTAAATGTCCTAATTAACTTCACAAGAACATTTTTCAGCATAATGTTTTATATAGGCCAAAGTAATTTTTGCAAACAGTTCAACTAACAAATAACTCTATTTTAAAATTACATGGTTTATGTTATTTAGGGGAAGATCTTAAATCTCTTACAGACGTCTTGCAGCCACATCGCCAGTTGTTCCTATCTTGAAACTTCTTTTGTTATTTCTGGGCCCATAACATTTTCCCCAGATTTGCGCATGGCTGTTTCCTTCCCAGTGTTTCAGTCAGTAAAAATTCCTTAAACTGTAATTCCCCTGAAAACTCTCCGAACGTCCTTTATTGGCTCCGACTTAACATTTATGTTCATATAACATTCACATTTAGTTTTACACACTAAAATACCTGAGATAAAGTAATTTAGGAGATTAAGTAATTTAGAAATTACATTGGCAGGGCACAGTGGCTCACGCCTATAATCCTAACACTTAGGGAGGCCGACGCAGGCGGATCACGAAGTGAAGAGATAGAGACCATCCTGGCCAACAGGGTGAAACCCTGTCTCTACTAAAACTGCAAAAATTAGCTGGACATGGTGGCACGTGCTTGTAGTCCCTGCTACTTGGGAGGCTGAGGTGGAGAATTGCTTGAACTTGGGACAGGGAAGTAGCAGTGAGCCCAGATCATCCCAATGCAATCCAGCCTGGTGAAGCTGTGAGATTCAGTCTTAAAAAACAAAACAAACAAACAATAAAAAAATCTACACAAATTATCTGCTCTTGTGTTTGAAAACTAGGAGTAAAAAAGAAATTATCATAGATTACTATACGTAAGACAAAATTATTTACACACTTACCACAAAGTCATGAATCAAAAGCTACTCTTGGTTTCTACTACAGCTTAAAATAGTAATTTATAAGAGTGAATAAATATGTACTTTCTGCTATGTGCTAGGAATGTACTAGATGTAACATAAACAAAAGCAACTAGGAAGCTTTAAATATTCACAATAGACAATATAACAATCAATAGATTAATACGTGGTACAGTGAATACAAAATACCTATGATAAGCAATGAGGAAGAAAATATAAAATTGAAGTTGCTTTTGAATAATGAATTGTATTTTTGAGGCATACACAGGAAATGATAATTGTCAAGAAGTTCAAAAAAGCATTTTAGGGGTAGCATAAACAATAACAGGAGCTAAAAACAGATTGGGATAATGTTATAAAGCAAAAAAGCTCTAAAGGGCCCAGAATGGAATGATCTTGACTAAAATGTAAAGGAATTCAACAGTTAATAGAATTAGATAAAATTTTAAAGCTTTAGTAAGCAAACAATCTCTAGACTTAAGACTCAATAGGAAAAGAGACCATTGGTTTGATCAAATCAAGTTCTCAAACACATTGGGGAAATGAGTAATTAGGTATTCATGTTATATAAATCACTCTGGTGACAGGAAAAAAAACATCCTTAGGATAAAAGAGCCAGGATAGGGTAAAAATGTCAGTTACTTCTTCTGTTATCCAACTTTAATATTCTCATATTATTTTCTATTTTCAAGTATTTAACATTTCCTTAAATGTAAGGTCTTATTTCAATATACTTTTTCAAGAACATATTTTCAGAAAAAGGGAATGAATATTTCCTTCCTGTGAGTCTGTCTAGATGTCTCTCTACCGTTTGTATATGTTCTAGAAGTATTTCCAGGAATTGGAAGTAATTCCTTTAATAGCATTTAATAAACGTTGACTTATTCCATTGATTTACAGGAGGGTTCCTTCTAGGTTTTAATGTTCTTCATTTTTTATTTATTGATTATACTTTAAGTTCTAAGCTACATGTGCACAACATGCAGGTTTGTTACATATGTATATTTGGGCCATGATGGTGTGCTGCACCCATCAACTCCTCAGTTACATTAGCTATGTCTCCTACTCTTATCCCTCCTCCTTCCCCCAACTCCATTACAGGCCCTGGTGTGTGATGTTCCCCACACCGTATCCAAGTGATCTCATTGTTCAATTCCCACCTATGAGTGAGAACATGTGGTGTTTGGTTTTCTGTCCTTGCGATAGTTTGCTGAGAATGATGATTTCCAGCTGCATCCATGTCCCTACAAAGGACATGAACTTATCCTCTTTTATGTCTGCATAGTATTTCATGGTGTATATGTGCCACATTTTCTTAATCCAGTCTATCATTGATGAGCATTTTGGTTGATTTTAAGTCTTTGCTATTGTGAATACTGCTTCAATAAATATACATGTGCATGTGTCTTCATAGCAGAATGATTTATAATCCTTTTGGTATATATCCAGTAATGGTATTGCTGGGTCAAATAGTATTTCTAGTTCTAGATCCTTGAAGAATTGCCACACTGTCTTAAACAATGGCTGAACTAGTTTACAGTCCCATCAACAGTGTAAAAGTGTTCCTATATCTCCACATCCTCTCCAGCACCTGTTTCTTGGCTTTTTAATGATCACCAATCTAAATGGTGTGAGATGGTACGTCACTATGGTTTTGATTTGCATTTCTCTGATTGCGAGTGATGATGAGCATTTTTTCATGTGTTTGTTGGCTGCATAAATGTCTTCTCTTGAGAAGTGTCTGTTCATATCCTTTGCCCATTTTTGATGGGGTTGTTTTATTTTTTCTTGTAAATTTGTTTAACTTCTTTGTAGATTCAGGATATTAGCCCTTTGGCAGATGGGTAGACTGCAAAAATTTTCTCTCATTCTGTATGTTGCCTCTTCACTCTGATGATAGTTTCTTTTGCTGTGCAGAAGCTCTTTAGTTTAATTAGATTCCATTTGTCAATTTTGGCTTTTGTTGCCATTGTTTTTGGTGTTTTAGACATGAAGCTCTTGCCCATGCCTATGTCCTGAATGGTATTGCCTAGGTTTTTTGATAGGGTTTTGATGATTTTAGGCCTAACATTTAAGTCTTTAATCCATCTTGAATTAATTTATGCATAAAGTGTAAGGAAGGGATCCAGTTTCAGCTTTCTACTTATGGCTAGCCAGTTTCCCCAGCACCATTTATTAAACAGGGAATCCTTTCCCTATTTCTTGTTTTTGTCAGGTTTGCCAGAGATTAGATGGTTGCAGATGTGTGGCATTATTTCTGAGGACTCTGTTCTGTTCCATTGGTCTATATCTCTGTTTTGGTACCAGTACCATGTTGTTTTGGTTACTGCAGACTTGTAGTATAGTTCGAAGTCAGGTAGCATGATGCCTCCAGCTTTGTTCTTTTGGCTTCAGATTGTCTTGGCTCTGTAGGCTCTTTTTTGGTTCCACATTAACTTTAGAGTAGTTTTTTTCCAATTCTGTGAAGAAAGTCATTGGTAGCTCAACGGGGATGGCATTGAATCTATAAATTGCCTTGGGCATTATGGCCATTTTCACTATATTGATTCTTCCTATCCATGAGCATGGACTGTTCTTGCATTTATTTGTGTCCTCTTTTATTTTGTTGAGCAGTGGTTTGTACTTCTGCTTGAAGATGTCCTTCACATCCCTTGTAAGTTGGATTCCTAGGTATTTTATGCTCTTTGAAGCAATCGCGAATGGGAGTTCACTCATGATTTGGCTCTCTGTTTGTCTGTTATTGGTGTATAGGAATCTTTGTGATTTTTGCACATAGATTTTGTATCCTGAGACTTTGCTAAAGTTGCTTATCAGCTTAAGGAAATTTTGTACTGAGAGGATGGGGTTTTCTAAATACACAATCATGTCATCTGCAAACAGGGACAATTTGACTTCCTCTTTTCCTAATTGAATACCCTCTGAAAATCTATTTTCACTTGTATTGAAATAAAAAATAGGAAAAGTTATGATATATTAATTTATATAATGTTATTTCCAGTACCCTTCCAACTACACTTGCATGTATATGGCACAAAGAATTTTGCTCCATATGGCATTCTACTATCTTCAAGACTTTAGTAATAGTAAAAAGACCTACAAATACTGTTAATTGAAAAGTAGAGTTATAATATTGTTACTAAGGGACTCTTTCCTTTCCAGTCATGTATTTGGCAGCATTCTTAGCATCTGCAGGTTCTCAAAAATATTAAACACAAAGTCTCTGGACTTCCTGGTTCAACCCTTTTATCAAAAGAACTAAAATATATAAAAACATTTTACATCTATATAATGGACTCACCAAGGTACTAACCATCTGAAAGTTACATCAAACCAGAAAATAAATGTATTTCATATCACCACTATGATTCTTAATATTAAGTCACCATTATAGTCAGCTTATTTTATTTCATTTTGTTCCTTAACTCCACAACACATTTACTTTTCCTCATTTTCCTTTCTAAGTAGTGAGTGATCCTTACCACAGGCCCTTCACCTGCTATTATGAGATTTTTCCAAATATCAAATAGATACTTCAAAATAAGAGTTTAAAATGATAAGGCATCTTAACATATGTATACGATGCACTTAGAAAAAATACATATTTTTAAAAATATATATATAACATACATATTATAAATATAAAGATTGAAATATACATATGAAAATACACATACATACACACACACACACACACACACACAAATACCCACATCTTTAAGAGTTACCTTCTGATAGGGGACCATGTTTTGCAAATACTTCTTTAAGCATCTTTTCATTGGCTTCTCTATTGATGCTACCAATGAAAAGCTTGCCTGGACGATCTGCTTCTACCATTGTGCTGTAAATGGTAAATAAATAAATTAATTAATTAATTAAATTATCTATATTTAGATAAAAATGAATAAGCTAAAAAGATAAAATTTTATTCCATACTGCATTGAAAATTCAAGTAAAATTCCCTTCCAGAGGCTAACATCTTATAACTATTTTTTTACTTCAAATATGTGCAATTTTTAACATACAGAGCAAAAGGGCACTGACTTCATGGACAAATGCTGCATTTTAAATGTAAGTGACAAAATCTCATTTCTAAAAATTAGAGAAGAAAAGCTATTGCAATTTTCCTAAGTTGTAATTTGAAGGATGCCTCATTTAAATAATTTTAGTTGAAAACTATGTATTTATGAGGTACAGTGTGATGTTTTGTGTATTTTTTTTTTTTTTTTTTTTTGAGATCACATCTCCTGTTGCCAAAGTGCACTGCTCACTAAAGCCTCCTTCACCTAGTCTCAACTGTTCCTCCCACATGGCTACCAACGTCCTTGGGCTGCAGTAATTATTATTGAGGAAAGTGGCAGTGTCCTTGGCTGTTAAAGGAGACTAGAGGACTTTGGAGTTTCCACCCAAGGCACAAGGCCCTGGTTTATTGGGTGGTTTTCTTTTGCTGAAGTAGATAAGATCCAAGAGAAATGTGGACTCACTATGGAAGCTAGGGCTTTGAGACTGGTGAAGCCTATTTGTCTTCAATTACCATTGCCAGATATTGGTCTGCACATAACAGCACTTCCTAGTTTCACTGAGTCTTGTAAATTCCAACATTGAATTTAGATTTTAAATCCCTATTCCAACTTAACAGATGTATTCAGAAGAAAGAGAAATCAGATAAGTGCATAAGTAAATCATCTTGATCAAATACCTTCAAAAATATTACTACAAAAATCACTGATGATTAAATCTTAAAATGTTATTTTAATTGGGGATATAGAAAAAGCTGAGACTTGTTTTAAACTCTGAGGTGTATAGATACCATTATTAGAATAAAAGAATAATAGAATGTCTAATTTGTGTAAGAGTAGCATGCTAACTATATAGTATGGCTAGAGATTGAGAACCCATGTAAGAAAACTCAGAGATAAACAACAAAACTTTTTCAGATACTTTGTTCTGTAATTAAAGAGGTTTAAAATGTACTCCTACAGATCAGTGATTCACTAGTATTTATCATTTGGGCATATGCAGTATACCCTTTTGTATGGGGATAAATTTATAGTTTCTATCATGTAGTAAGAAAAAAAATTGACTGTGTACCACATTTGCATCAGAGTCTTTGCCCTGAGTAATGAAGCAAACCATGGAACTGCCTATGTCAGGGCACAGGTGGGCACAGCTAGACGCTTCCATCACTTGTGTCTAGCATTTCTAGATTCTCATTGGTCCCTCCTAGAAAGACAAATGGACTATAACTATCCTAAAGAACATACGTTACATTTAAACACAAAGTATTAAGATAAGACTATAATTTGTCTTATCACTTACGTCTTGTCATCACTGTAAACTTGCATCTATAACTTTTACACAGAAATTCAGTTCATTTTATCACCATTAACATTTTACATCACACATTTTTTCTATTTCATTCTCTTTTTAGTCAATTTTCTTTTTTTAAGGTGGAGTTTCACTCTGTCACCAATGCTAGAGTACAATGGCATGAAATCAACTCACTGCAACCTCTGCCTCCAGGATTCAAGTAGTTCTCCTGCCTCACCCTCTTGAGTGGCTGGGATTACAGGTACACACTACCACTCCTGGCTAATTTTGTATTTTTTTTTTTTTATTATTATACTTTGAGTTCTAGGGTACATGTGCATAACGTGCAGGTTTGTTACATATGTATACTTGTGCCATGTTGCTGTGCTGCAGCCATCAACTTGTCAGCACCAATCCACTTGTCATTTACATCAGGTATAACTCCCAATGCAATCCTTCCCCCCTCCCGCCTCCCCATGATAGGCCCCAGTGTGTGATGTTCCCCTTCCTGAGTCCAAGTGATCTCATTGTTCAGTTCCCACCTATGAGTGAGAACATGGGGTGTTTGGTTTTCTGTTCTTGTGATAGTTTGCTAAGAATGATGGTTTCCAGCTGCATCCATGTCCCTACAAAGGACACGAACTCATCCTTTATGATGGCTGCATAGTATTCCATGGCGTATATGTGCCACATTTTCTTAATCCAGTCTGTCACTGATGGACATTTGGGTTGATTCCAAGTCTTTGCTATGGTGAATAGTGCCACAATAAACATACGTGTGCATGTGTCTTTATTGCAGCATGATTTATAATCCTTTGGGTATAGACCCAGTAATGGGATGGCTGGGTCATATGGTACATCTAGTTCTAGATCCTTGAGGAATTGCCATACTGTTTTCCATAATGGTTGAACTAGTTTACAATCCCACCAACAGTGTAAAAGTGTTCCTATTTCTCCACATCCTCTCCAGCACGTGTTGTTTCCTGACTTTTTAATAATTGCCATTCTAACTGGTATGAGATGGTATCTCATTGTGGTTTTGATTTGCATTTCTCTGATGGCCAGTGGTGATGAGCATTTTTTCATGTGTCTGTTGGCTGTATGGATGTCTTCTTTTGAGAAATATCTGTTCATATCCTTTGCCCACTTTTTGATGGGGTTGTTTTTTTCTTGTAAATTTGTTTGAGTTCTTTGTAGGTTCTGGATATTAGCCCTTTGTCAGATGAGTAGATTGCAAAAATTTTCTCCCATTCTGTAGGTTGCCTGTTCACTCTGATGGCAGTTTCTTTTGCTGTGCAGAAGCTCTTTAGTTTAATTGGATCCGATTTGTCAATTTTGGCTTTTGCTGCTGTTGCTTTTGGTGTTTTAGACATGAAGTCTTTGCCCATGCCTATGTCCTGAATGGTACTACCTAGGTTTTCCTCTAGGATTTTTATTGTATTAGGTCTAACATTTAAGTCTCTAATCCATCTTGAATTAATTTTCATATAAAGAGTAAGTAAAGGATCCAGTTTCAGCTTTCTACTTATGGCTAGCCAATTTTCCCAGCACCATTTATTAAATAGGGAATCCTTTCCCCATTTCTTGTTTCTCTCAGGTTTGTCAAAGATCAGATGGCTGTAGATGTGTGGTATTATTTCTGAGGACTCTGTTCTGTTCCATTGGTCTATATCTCTGTTTTGGTACCAGTACCATGCTGTTTTGGTTACTGTAGCCTTGCAGTATAGTTTGAAGTCAGGTAGCGTGATGCCTCCAGCTTTGTTCTTTTGACTTAGGATTGTCTTGGAGATGTGGGCTCTTTTTTGGTTCCATATGAACTTTAAAGCAGTTTTTTCCAATTCTGTGAAGAAATTCGTTGGTAGCTTGATGGGGATGGCATTGAATCTGTAAATTACCTAGGAGAGTATGGCCATTTTCACGATATTGATTCTTCCAATCCATGAGCATGGTATGTTCTTCCATTTGTTTGTGTCCTCTTTTATTTCACTGAGCAGTGGTTTGTAGTTTTCCTTGAAGAGGTCCTTTACATACCTTGTAAGTTGGATTCCTAGGTATTTTATTCTCTTTGAAGCCATTGTGAATGGCAGTCCACTCATGATTTGGCTCTCTGTTTGTCTGTTACTGGTCTATAAGAATGCTTGTGATTTTTGCACATTGATTTTGTATCCTGAGACTTTGCTGAAGTTGCTTATCAGCTTAAGGAGATTTTGCGCTGAGACAATGGGATTTTCTAAATATACAATCATGTCATCTGCAAAGAGGGACAATTTGACTTCTTCTCCTAACTGAATACCCTTGATTTCTTTCTCTTGCCTGATTGCCCTAGCCAGAACTTCCAACACTATGTTGAATAGGAGTGGTGAGAGAGGGCATCCCTGTCTTGTGTCTGTTTTCAAAGGGAATTTTTCCAGTTTTTGCCCATTCAGTATGATATTGGCTGTGGGTTTGTCATAAATAGCTCTTATTATTTTGAAGTACATTCCGTCAATACCGAATTTATTGAGCGTTTTTAGCATGAAGGGCTGTTGAATTTTGTCAAAAGCCTTTTCTGCAAGTATTGAAATAATCATGTGCTTCTTGCTTTGGTTCTGTTTATATGCTGGATTATGTTTATTGATTTGCGAATGTTGAACCAGCCTTGCGTCCCAGGGATGAAGCCCACTTGATCATGGTGGATAAGCTTTTTGATGTGTTGCTGAATCCGGTTTGCCAGTATTTTATTGAGGATTTTTGCATCGATGTTCATCAGGGATATTGGTCTAAAATTCTCTTTTTTTGGTGTGTCTCTGCCAGGCTTTGGTATCAGGATGATGTTGGCCTCATAAAATGAGTTAGGGAGGATTCCCTCTTTTACTATTGATTGGAATAGTTTCAGAAGGAATGGTACCAGCTCCTCCTTGTACCTCTGGTAGAATTCAGCTGTGAATCCATCTGGTCCTGGACTTTTTTTGGTTGGTAGGCTATTAATTATTGCCTCAATTTCAGAGCCTGCTATTGGTCTATTCAGAGATTCAACTTCTTCCTGGTTTAGTCTTGGAAGAGTGTAAGGGTCCAGGAAATTATCTATTTCTTCTAGATTTTCCAGTTTATTTGCATAGAGGTGTTTATAGTATTCTCTGAGAGATCTGCTGTTAGTCTGATGGGTTTCCCTTTGTGGGTAACCCGACCTTTCTCTCTGATGGTAGTTTGTATTTCTGTGGGGTCGGTGGTGATATCCCCTTTATCATTTTTTATTGCATCAATTTGATTCTTCTCTCTTTTCTTCTTTATTAGTCTTGCTAGCGGTCTGTCAATTTTGTTGATCTTTTCAAAAAACCAACTCCTGGATTCATTGATTTTTTGGAGAGTTTTTTGTGTCTCTATCTCCTTCAGTTCTGCTCTGATCTTAGTTATTTCTTAGCTTCTGCTAGCTTTTGAATGTGTTTGCTCTTGCTTCTCTAGTTCTTTTAATTGCGATGTTGGAGTGTCAATTTTAGATCTTTCCTGCTTTCTCTTGTGGGCATTTGGTGCTATAAATTTCCCTCTAC